AATACCAAAAATTATAGTTTATGGGCCTAGTTGCAGTTAATGAAACTATCTTATCCAAACATTTATTTGTTAAATTATACATACCTCTACCTCTATCTCTACATCTTAGCCTCCCTCCCTTCCTTCCTTCCTTCCTTCCTTCCTTCCTTCCTTCCTTCCTTCCTTCCTTCCTTCAGGCCTGCCTTCCTTCCTTCCTTCAGGCCTGCCTTCCTTCCTCCCTCTTTCCTTTCAGTTTCTTTCTTCCTCTCTCAACCATCTATGCATCTATGTATTTATCTATGTATCTATGTATCTATGTATGTATCTATCTATCTATCTAAACTTGCCAAATGCTCTTTGGACCAGTTTTAATATATTCTTAATGGTTCATCTCATTAATTAAAGAGTTAAAACTATGTGAAACATGTTCATTTTATATTTACATGGAAGTCATGTTGTTGAATCTTTTGAAAATTAGCACTTTTGTAGGTCATCCATTAAAACATGCAACTGAGCCCACCTGCTGGGGCCAAGTACACTGTCATGCAGAAAAGTGTATGTATTTACTGGGCTACTTAATCTTGAGGACATCTTTATTTAGTTTGATGACTCTGGGAATCTCAAAGTTTTGTGTGTGTTTTTAGTTTATGATTTTTGTTTGTTTCTGATTCATGCAGACTGAAAATTTATTTTTTACCTGTGGGAAACATAAATGGACATTGAGTATTATGGTTGACCATTTGATGATCTTTGTCAATAGACAATGGAGATCAATCCTCTGTCACATGAAAGATGACAGAGAATCTAGTCTGTATTTATTATTCTTTAGATATCTGTTTGTTAACTGGGAAGGAGAGCAAGTTTTTGAGGTCTTGACTAGGTTTACCTTTTATTTGTTGCTAAAGCTGCAGCTCTGAAGCCGAGGGGTCCCTACACTTTTCCGGGTGTGTCATTGAGGAAAGTGTTTACCTTTTTTTTAGGTGAGTGTGAATAATTTTTCTATATCTTAAGAGTATTAATAAATTAGATTATCATATATTTTAAATTAAAAGAGCTCTATTTATATTGATATATGAAGAGTATTTGCAAAATTCACAGAAATTAAAGAAACAGAATTTTTAATATTATAAAATGATTGAATAAAAAATAAAACTTTCTTACTGAAACTTCTTGTTCAGAAACATTCTATGTTGGTAGTTACAAAATAGTCACAAGGATACAAAGTACAGCATAAGAAATATAGTCAATAATATTGTAATAACTATATACGGTGCCAGTTGCATATTAGAAATATCAGGGGGAACACTTTACAAAGTATATGATTATCTAATCACTATACAGCACACCTGACACTAATATAAAATAATAGTGATTGTAAACTGTAATTTAAAAAAAATTAATTAAAAAAGATAACTTTATGAATTCAGATTAACATAATTAAAATGTATCTTTGGACAAATTAGAAAGATTTAATAATTTTGTTCTAAGTAAATAAAAAAGCAGCATATGTCTTTTATCATCATTCATATATATATATATATATATATATATATATATATAGGCAAGCGACTGGAAGGATAGGAATGACCAGAACAACCAGAATGATGGATCATTATGACGTGCACTGTGGCCAGCCAACCAACTCGATTGGGGGTGGGGCTGGCTGGCCAACCTCCTGAGGCCCCTCCCCCGGGCCAGCCTGACTCTGATCAGCCCCAATGGGGTGGGCTGGCCGGACTCCACCCATGCACGAATTCATGCACTGGGCCTCTAGTTAAGTATAACACTAGATTTTATATTCATAAGATTTTTTTATCATAAAATATCCTCTTTAGATTGAATGTCAAAAATGTTTTATATGGATTTATTGATCAAATAAACTGACAGTTATTTATATTTTTGAGAATATAGGAAGATAAAGGAAACCAGTGTTTAACAAAATTGGATAATAATTCAAATAAACATTTTATAGCATTAATTATATTTATGTATTAGCTCAAAAATTATTTATAATATTTAAAATAACCTAAAAATGTGAGTAAATGTTAAATAAAGTTAATATATAAATATTCTTTGGATATCTGTTTAATTACTCAGTAATGGTAAGTACTAAAACATTGATTACTAAGCATAATTGTAAACATAAATTTTGCTTCTTATTTTTATGTGTTTCAAGAGACTCTCCCTTTGGGTCACCTAAATAAAGATGCTTATTTTCTACCTTAAAAAGATATTTAAAAATGTATGTAGCAGTAGAAAATTGTGTTGTACATATTCATGAATTTTGATAGTCTGCTAGGATGCTTGAGTATGATAGACATTTCTTAATGAACCATCTCTAAGCATTTTCTCTGAAATTGATATGATTTCTTTTGGTTAAAAGTTATAATTAACATGAATAGTTGAGATTATCCTAGGGAAAATGATGATCCAGAAGCATAAATGTGGACACAAAGTAATAAAGTGTGTTTTTTAATCAATTCATATAAAACGAGTAGTCTAATGTGTTTGTGAAAAGCAAAAGCTGAATGGTTATAAAAATGTTTCCAATACTCACAGAAGGGGATTTTTGCTTGTCTTAGTTTAAAATATCTGGATCTGTAAAGACACAGAGTTGTGTAGTTTTTCCAAAGTTGGCTCAGTTTTATGTGCTTATTTTTTAGATGCCATGAAGAGTTTACTGCCAAATATTGATGCCAAACTGGAATTTGACTTTCACACTGTTAAAATGATAAATGATCCTCTTTTACCTTCTGTGCAATCTGCCCAGAAATAGTAGAGATTCCATGGCCTACCAAAATGATTTTATCTTTTTGAGATAACTTTATCATTCTCTACATTTTAAAAAATAGAACAGTCTCCTATCATATAAAAGATATGTTTCCTTCTAATTTGTTGCCCAGGTATCCATGTTCTATCATTTTTTAAAATTTATCTTTATTGTTGAAAGTATTACATATGTTCCCTTCTCCCTCACATTGACCCCTTGTAGCCTGCACCTGCCCCCAACCAAGGCCTCCATCACACTATTGTCTGTGTCCATGGGTGTGCATATATGCATATAAATTATTTGGTTAATCTCTTCCCACTCACCCATCCTCACCTCCCTTTGAGATTCCTCAGTGTCTTCTATGTTTCTGATTTTACTAGAGGACTGGTGCACAAAATTCATGCACTTGCAGCCGGGGAGGGGGGGAGGGAGGACGGGAAGGGGTCTCTAAGCCTAGCCTGTGCTCTCTCACAGTACTGGAGCCCTCAGGAGATATCCAACTGACGGCTTACCCTTCAGTCAGACATCCTTAGCGCTGCCACAGAGGCGGGAGAGGCTCCCACCACTGCCGCAGCGCTTGCCAGCCATGAGTCTACCTTCTGGCTGAGCGGGGCACCCCTTGTGGGAGCACACTGACCACCAGGGGGCAGCTCCTGCATTGAACGTCTGCTCCCTGGTGGTCAGTGCACATCATAGCGACCAGTCATTTGGTCAATTTACATATTAGCCTTTTATTATATAGGATTGTCAGAAGAGCAGGCCCTCCACTTCAGAAAAAAATGAAAATTATAAGTAAAATTTTTACACCAAAACATCTCGTATGTTTCCCAGAAAACCCCCTTGAAGTGATAGAGAACTCCTTTTTCACTTTCTAAAAGTGATACTAGATATAGATTTGTTTGTTGTCTTTCATGGTTCTCAATTAGCAAAATACAACTTAAGACCTGCATAGGAATTGTCGAATCAGAAAAGGTGCTGAGACTACCAAAGCTAAGTTTGAAGAATTATAATATTATTAATAGAAATATTTCTATAAAAATACCTTGAAGATTTGTCAATGACTTTGTAATCCATGGTTCATTCTTAATTTCACAGGAAACATGGATCAAATTCTTAGCACATAACTATATATTGCACCCCAATAAAAAATTTTACTCTTCTATGTTCTTATATTGTTGGCAAGAAATTGACCACAGTCATTTATTATCATTATCAAACAGGTTTTTGCTTCCTTCTGATGGTGGCCTGAAGGTTCTGCTATAAGCTGCATCTAGGATTTATATATTAAACAACAAAAGGACAATCACACTGCATTATGGAAAGAACAGTATTAGATACTTTGAACTACTGATACTGCAAAGAGTGGGCTGTTGTATACAGGTGTCCAAGCTGACATGGCTTAGACAACTTTCAGATATACCAGTTGAGTGAGACATTACATAGAAATTTCTTTATTGTCCAGAAACAAATGAAAACACACTGCTGATCTCCAATCCAACAGAATTAATTCCCCAGGATTAAATAACCGACAAGTGCAATTTAACTGCAGTTATTTGTGTGGAATATTATTGATGATATTTTTAATATTCTATTTTTATGGATCGATGAAGTCACTATATCTATGCCTCGATTTAGTGGACTATATTTTTTTAAAAGGAAATAAAACATGTTAATGGTATCTGGTTGTCACTGACCCCTACCTCCTCTTGCCCTTGCCCAGAATTCAGAAACAAGCAACTTTTTTGAGTTTCCTTACATTTTAGGGCAAGAGAGTCATTTGTATCCATTCAATGAAACCTGTCTTCCTATTTACCAGTATATGATCGGACAAATTGTATAGCCAAGGCCTCACCTTAGTGTTACATTCGAGAATGATTCTCATTTACTGCAATCAGGCATGGCAATCCCACTTTTGAGAAATGCGTTGACTTTATCTGCGAATCCGGCGCTTTGAGCCCCTACTCACCGGGGACATTGTGACATATTTTGCCACATAGTACATATATGAAAATGTCCCTAAATCTCTCAGATGGCTCTCACCCAATACCGGGTTTGCGGAGTGCCACTCTCACGGGCAGTGAAGAAGTTGTTTCCTGGCAGGGAAGCAGCGGGCAGCACCTGCAGAAGAGCGGGGAGGGGAGGGAGGGAGGGAGGGGAGGGGAGGGGAGGGGAGGGGAGGGGAGGGGAGGGGAGGGGAGGGGAGGAGGAGGGGTGGCCGCGGGGGCGGGGCGGGCGGGAGAGGCGGGGGAAGATGGCTGCGGTGAGTCGGGGCGTGAAGGGCCTGGTGGCCGTCATCACCGGGGGCGCCTCGGGCCTCGGTCTGGCCACGGCGGAGCGGCTGGTGGGACAGGGGGCCAGTGCCGTGCTGCTGGACATGCCCGGCTCCAGCGGGGAGGAGCAGGCCCGGCGGCTAGGGAAGAGCTGCGCCTTCGCCCCAACCGACGTGACCTCGGAGGAGGACGTGCGCGCGGCTCTGGCTTTAGCGAAAGGAAAGTTTGGCCGCGTGGACGTGGCCGTCAATTGTGTGGGCATCGCGGTGGCCCTCCAGACCTACGACCTGAAGAGCAGGCAGGCCCACCCCTTGGAGGACTTCCGACGAGTGATCAACGTGAATCTCATCGGCACCTTCAACGTGATCCGCCTCGTGGCCTGGGAGATGGGCCTGAACGCACCAGACCGGGGAGGCCAGCGAGGGGTCATCATCAACACGGCCAGCGTGGCCGCCTTCGAGGGCCAGGTGGGCCAGGCGGCATACTCCGCTTCCAAGGCGGGCGTGGCGGGCATGACGCTGCCCATTGCCCGGGACCTGGCGCCCCTGGGCATCCGCGTCATAACCATCGCTCCCGGCCTGTTTGGCACCCCGCTGATGACCACCCTCCCCGAGGAAGTGTGCAACTACCTGGCCAACCAGGTGCCCTTCCCCCGCCGCCTGGGCCACCCTGCTGAGTACGCGCACCTGGTACAGTGCATCATCGAGAACCGGTTCATCAACGGAGAGGTCATCCGGCTGGATGGGGCCATCCGCATGCAGCCTTGAGGGGAGGGGAAGACGAAACACACTCCTCAGTCCTTCCCCTGGGACGCTGTGCTCCAGCTCGGGAGGAAGCCCACTAGCCAGTGTGTATCTCTGCCCACTAATCACCTTCTGTGCCTAATAAAGTCTATTTCTTACAGGAAAAAAATGAAAAGAGGAATTTACCCAAATTCATGAGGACCGCACATGAAATCTGGCAGAGAAAATGTCCTGTAGTTGGTTTTCTAGCTTTGGAATAGATGATCAAATAAGCCAAACTTTTCCAAACCCAACCTGAGATTCGGTATCAGAATTTTGGGACCGTAGGTAGTCCTCTGGCATTTGTACTTGGCCAATACGGAATGGCCCTAGCTTTACAGAGCAAACTCAAGAAGACTTGTATGGTTAGTGAATACTCTTATAACACCCATTTGTGTATTAAACAGTAAAAGGACAATCACACTGCCTTGTGGAGGTTTTAAGTACTTTGAACTAATCAGGTCAAATCTAAACCCACAAACATTTTTGTGAACAAAAATAATCTTTGAAGATTACTTATGATCTCAATGTGATAAAAAGTAAACAAACAAACAAAACAAAAACAAAACAACAACTCTGAAACTTAAAGAAAAAGTTATCTTTTTTGATGTTTTATATTGAAAGGTAACTGAAGGATTACCTAGGAGAATGACTTGTGCATGACATTGTTTACTATTGATTTGTAGTCCCAGACTTGATAGGAGATTTCCTCAGTAAAGGAATTAATTCTTGTCAGGTGGAACAGGTAATCCAAATGATTATAGATTATGGACTGTTGGACTTCAACCAATTTTGTATCTAATGGAGCAATTATATAGTAATAGCTCTTCATTAATTTATTCAATGTATACTCACATGCTCCATCATTTAATTAGTTGAATAAATTTTCATGAATCAATTTATAGGAGATACATTTCTTAATATTTTAAAAATTATCTATAATAAGAAAAGCATAATATGCTAATTAGGCCAGACAGCTGGATGACTTTCTGGATGACCTTCTGGATGAAGCCAGGGCTGCAGAGGGCTGAGCCTCTTGCACAAATTTTGTGCATCAGGCCTCTAGTACTTTAATAAATATCATTAGTATACATATATGGAACTAAAAAGAGGGAAACATCATTAAAACATCCCAAATTATGCCAACTCCCCACCACCAGCTATTAATGAAATATGATTTTAAACATCTATCCAGCTGTATGTCTCTACTAGATATATACTGAAGGCATTCATGGCAAAGAAAGTATATCTGGAAATTTTCCTACTAAAACACTGTTAGGGAGGATTATTTTGGTGGGAAATTTTTTTTACTAAATGTTGTAATTTATAATTATATGAATTAATATATTTCTAGATTATTTTTGTTTAACAAACTTTCTCTTCCATGCTTTAGAAATTTATATTTATTCTTCAGAATTTTAGGTTTCTGGAGATATTTGGGGTAATATTTGATACTTGAAAACACATACAAATGAAAATTATTATTCATTTATCTTACCAAGTTGATAACTGAATCTTTTTTTTTCTATATCAATATGCTCTATTTTTCCATTACCTTACTAATGTATTGATGGTATGCTCTGAATTCAGTTACTCTGATGGCTTGCCATTAATTCCAGGTCTATTTCCAGATACCTAAGAAAAAATTGTCAACTAATCCCTAAAGGCTTTCATTTTAAGAATGAAGTGAACTCATTCTATCTTCAGTCCTTGAGCCTTTTGAAGAATTGCTATAAAAAGATAATTATTTCCTTTTGTACCCAATTGCAGTTTTTGTCCCTGTCCTTTTTAATCTTGCATTATAAATTTTTACTTTGTCTGTAATATTATTTTAAATGCCAAAAAAAATATGCATTTGAGGATAGTCATCTTCATTTTAGTAATAAACTAAATATATTCATATTGACATTGGGCAATGGCAAAAACATTATTCAGTATACTCAATATTCACTAACTCAGTAATTATGTAATTTTTATAATGAAATAAAATAAAGGGCTTCTTTCAAAACCACAATACAAGAACCCCATTTCTCATGATCTATTTAGCATAATCTCAAGTTTGAGTCTATTTTCCATTCATAAAAATGAATCCCTTGAATGTCATAATTTCAGCATATTTCTTTTCTACACTTTGTGAAAACAAAAGACATTTGTTTTAATAGTATTTCAATAAAATTATTAAAATTTCCAATTGAGTCATCCATCAAATTTTTAAAAAGGTCATAAATTCTGTTCACTAATGTTGACAATGGCTTACCCTAAAATTATCATAAAACTATAACTATATTATCACTCCATTAATTTAATCTTATAAATAGTGGTTTATTAGAATGAAAAATGTTATTGGAAAAATATGTATTTTTTTCAAGGTTCCTCTAACAAAGCTGTATTTCTTACTGATAGTAAGCTCCTTCATCATTACAAGAAGACAATAGTACTACCATTACACTTTACAAAGGCATTTATTTATTATCTGAATGAGATTATAATTAATTCCAAGAACAATTAAATAAATCATTTTATTTATAAAGTTTTTCAGCATCACATTTTAATTAGATGTAGTATTTGAATTGAGCCAACCTGTTGGTAATCAGTGAAGACAGGAAACCATGATGATACAAATGATTGCTCTAACTTAAGTGGTTGGCAACTTTTAACACTTGTGTAAAATGGTGGCACACTGGGACATTGGGACTTGCAACCAGCTCCTGGCAAAAGCTCAACCCCTTTGGTCTTTACTATTTGGAGTTATCCTTACATTCCTGTCCACTGACATAGGCACAATCAATACCAATCTTGAATTTCACAACACTTTCCTGCCCTTCAGGTTACTCTAACAGCCAGCGGTTCTCAACCTGTGGGTCGCAACCCCTGTAAATACATCCTGCATATCAGATATTTACATTATGATTCATAACAGTAACAAAATTACAGTTATAAAGTAGCAACAAAAATAATTTTATGGTTGGGGGTCACCACAACATGAGGAACTGTATTAAAGGGTCACGGCATTAGGAAGGTTGAGAACCACTAACCCATCTGTTTCAAACTCTATAATACAAATAAAAGAGAGGAAAGTATTTTAAAATATTGAGAAGGGTGATTTTATTAGATATTTTTTATTCTACTGTAGATTATCACAATATTTAAGATGTAAAAACTTCAGTGTTTTATTGAGTTATATCCTCATCAAGTGGCCATCCTGCTTTAGTGTGACAGCCACAATAATGGGAAACACTATGTTTTGAAGACAAGAGTCTATCTTTTTATAGCTGAAGGCATAAGCAGGTAAAAGAATTGAAGTATGGCTTTAGGTCTACACCATATTGGCTGTGGTGATGTAAATGAAAACATTTGTAGGTGTGAAAATTCTATAAACTTACTCATTGTTAAAATAGAATAAAAAGAGAGAAAACAATTTCTGTATTATTTTAGGCCCATTTGTAATAGTTTTTGCATTTATTAATCTATAAAATTGGACAAAGTAGGTAATGAATGGTAGAATTAAAGTACCACTACATACCCTTTAATGTCTTCCAGGTCAGCACATTCATTTTTTTCCCATTACTACTTCTCCAAACTAGCCCAAACCATTAATGTATTTTGCCTGTACAATTTACAATTATATACATACTTGATCATGGATTTCGCTTTCCATTGTTAAATAATCAAAAAAAATTTCTCAAGAACAAGTAATTAATTTCACACTAAAGAATTATTCTTAAAAAGAAAAAAATTCAGTTTCCCAAGCAGAAAGAGCCAATAGAGCCAATGGTACATAAATCTCTAGTTATTTCAAGACAACCATTATTATTGAACACCATTTGGGTCAGTTTTTTATTCTAAAGAAAAATATCTCATGTTCAATTGAAAAATAGAGGAATATTCTTACTTTATCCTGCTATATATGAAGGATTTTGGCCTTATTTGTAATTTAAGAGACTTTTTGGAAGATTCTGCTACTCTAGGTTTATCATGAAACATAGGCTACTAGAAATATAAAAGTTTCCACGGTGCATAATGCTGCCATGAACATAGGCGAGCATATATCTTTGTGAATAAATGTTTTCAAATTTTTCAGGTAGTTACCCAGAAAATGGGTTGCTGTTCATATGGTACCTATGTTCTTATTTTTTGAGGAACCTCCATACTCTTTTCCATAGTGGTTGTACTAGTTTACATACCCACCAACAGTGAATGAGGGTTCCTCTTTCTCCACAACTTCTACATTTGTTATTATATATCTACAATGGATTACTCCCCTACCATAAGAAAAGATGAAATACTTCCATTTGTGACAAGGATAGTCTTTGAGAATATCATGCTAAGCAAAATAAGTCAGTCTGAAAAAGTTAAGAATCATATGATTTTACACACATGTGGTATGTAAAAATGAAAGCAACAAATGAACAGAGAAGGAAAACAAACAAAAAACCGACTTAGACACAGACAGCAATATGATGGTTTCCAGAAGGAAGGGGGTGGTGGGTAGTAAAGGGCACCAAATATATGGTGATGGGAGATGATTTTTTTAAAAATATATTTTTATTGATTTCAGAGAGGAAGGAAGAGGGAGATAGAAACATCAATGATGAGAGAGAATCATTGATCAGCTGCCTCCTGCACACTCCCCACTGGGTATGTGCCTGAAACCAAGTACATGCCCTTGACTGGAATCAAACCTGGGACCCTTGAGTCCGCAGGCCGATGCTCTGTCCATTGAGCCAAACCGGTTAGGGCAATGGGAGATGATTTGACTTTGGGTGGTAGACATACAGATCATGTATTATAAGTGTTCACTTGCAACCCATATACTCTTATTAACCAATGCTACCCCAATCAATTTATTTTTAAAAAGAAAAAAAAGAAATTCAAAAATTTTTTTTTACAAATATGGAACTCATAGGTTGAGAAATTTAATATGTTCAACCCAGTGTACAACTAGACTTAAGGACAAAATGTCACATTTGTTTTTGTTTGTTTTT